CTAAATAAATGCAGTTGAAGACTTAAAAAAACGATTTCTCTTTCAACTTCTGCTGCTGCAATCATACGGCATAAATGTGTGAAGTGATATACGTCTTTACGATGGTGTGAAATTGCGGTTGAAATGATATTTTAGGTGAGAAATTTGGGTAAAGCAAACAAAAAAGGCCGGACAGCAATTTGCGAGTGTATATATTTCAAATTCATATTCGCATTATAAAGCAATTGCCGAAAGGAATACAGAAGGGACAAGAAGAAGCCCGAAGAAAATGCTCAAAACAAATGAGACGTAATACGAACCAAATGAGATATGTATACAGTTTCATTATACGTATCATTATTCTATTTGAAATATTACAAAGACCGCGATCAATGAACGTTTAACTTAGCATTTTATTTTCCTAATTCCTGTCGCCGTTTAAACGCTGCGCGTTGAATGCTAATTTTTATTATATTTTTATTCTTTTTTGAAAGAAAAAAAAATAATTCGCAAGTGAAGAAGAAATACAAGAAGAATTCTTCTATAACTTAAAACGGAAAACAGATATCTGATCGGCACTCATAGCACTCGGCATATTGAAAAGCAAAGTGTAAAAGAATAATGGAACAAGAAATGGAAACAGTATTTTTTTTTTTTTTCAAATTGATTTCTTACGAAGTTTTAAGTATATATATTTTTTCTCTCTTTGACTTTTGTCCAATAAGGAAAAGTATGCTACGACGTTTTAAGAACTGTAAGCGTCTTAAGTCTTAACTATTTTTCTACATGACTGAAAACTGTTTCTATCGATCGGTGAACTGAAAACTGTGACTTTCACTTCGGACACAAAAGAATAATGAGAGACGTCTCAGTGTTCGTCTAAGAAATTCATATGTTCAAGTTGACTTGACACTAAGATGGTACTCGACCAAGTTTGCGAGAAGTGCAAAGCAAGTGGATTTAATGTTTCGTTTGCACGCATCGAAAAGCTAATATTAGACTGAACGTGCCGAGTTTTGTGATAAAATATACTGTTTTACTATCTTGAATTGATACATATGCTCTTCCTCTTAAAAAAAAGAATTCGCAAAATATATGAGTTGAATATAATTAGTGTTCCTTGGTAATTTATTTCCAAGTAGAAAGAACAAAGATCATCCAGCCTCCAAAAATCATTTCCGAGTCAAAATTCCCGGTAGCACGAAAAAAAATCTGCATGAAATCTGCATGATAAATTTTAATTAGGCACATTGTTTGATGGCAGGGGATTACGTGCACGGAACCAGCCCTTTTTTTAAAAAGTATATTATTGTGATGGCAGTTTTTGTATAAGTTTTTTTTTTTCATATAAAAGGTGTGATTATAATTCTGAACTTTATTCAGCAGCATTAATACAAAAAATGGAAGCATTTGTATAGAATGAACAAAAAAAATATTTCGTTTTATTCATGTTTTCATTTGAATGTAGACATTGTGATGAAACTTTAATAAGTATCAAACGATACACTTGTAAGTATTTTATAAAGGATTTGAATCTTCAATTTATTTGTCATTTACATTACATTAGTGCATAATGTATCGCGTATGTATACACATTTTCAAAAAGACTGATATCTATTTTAAATGCAAGGAAATTGTCAAGCGCAGTACATTGAAAAAATCGAGTATATAACACCGTGTGCTTTAAACTATGCAACACCCCAAAGATAAAATGAACAGTTTTTATTTTTTATACAATTGAACTTATTTTCGCAAAGAGAATAATTCGAAAATGTCAGTCGAGATATAGTTCACACTTCGGATCAATTGAAATATAAATTAAAAACCACTAACTTGCAGAGAGCACCATATTAAAGGTGTTGACGATTTCAACAAATGAAAAACTGAACAGAATTTGCCTTTTATAATGCAGCGCAGCCATTTTGTTGGTCTAGATTAAAATTTGAGTTTGTAACAATAATCAATGTCACGCCAAAATAATTTCGATTTGAATGAGTTTCTTTCATTTCATATATTCAAGTATGCTATAGTATAGGAGCTTAGGAGGCTTTTAGAGCTGATAAATGTATCAACATTCACAAGATTATTTTTCACCACATTTGATTCGCCACATTTGATATATATCGAGCAGTCTTTTTCTGCGGATTCGATGAGCGTATTATGTCGTGTATGTGTGGGCGCTTTCGCCACATAGAGACAAAAAATAAAAGGTATTCTGATATAATCATTTTATAAAATGTACGGTATTTGAATGCAAATGTCAAATCCTAAAATCCTTGATATAGTATGAACCATTTTCAGCGTAACGATTTCTATCATGAGATTTGAATCCTCTTTATGCGCGATTTCATAGGTAAATCCGATTGGTTTGAAAACGAAAACAAAAAACTGTTCTCGCGTACAGAGATGAATTGAGTATGCAAAATACACATAGGAATTAAAAACAAGTATCAGTTTGAGTGTCGATATGTCTGCATTTATGTATTTTATATTCTTTTGTACTCTTATCTTGAAATCTAGTTCGGCTAGATGCATTGTGTTTCCGTCACTTAAATCAGCTATATTGACATTATATACTCTTTAAAAGAAAAAATCATTATTCACTTATTTCAAAAGCATCGCTTTCATAGCTCTAGCGGGACGTAGTGGAACTTAGAAAGAGGAATATGAATAAAATGATACTGGATAAAGTTTGTCACTTTCGGAAATTACATATTTGTTCAACGAAAAAAAAAACATAATTTTGATGATTTTTTTCCAATTCTAGTAAATATTACTCAACCAAACAAAGAGATGGCGTTGCACAATATAACATTCTTGTTATGATACTGTGAAAAAAATTAAAATCCCATACAAGTGTTAAACTTTCACTCAACACAAACCCCCAGACAAACGGCATTGTTTTTAAAAGGGTTAATTCGCATGAGAAATTCCAGTGGCAATAGAAAACGTGTAAATCATATTCGTTGTGGCAATTATTCCAACCCTGACTAGCATTATATGGGCTTCTGTGTTATTCTGCCGAACTCCGCTCAACGTGGCGCCATCTCTATACACGACGTTGAAGTAATAAAAGTTTTTGTGTATTTCTCAAGTTTGAGAGAAATCGCATATTTACATTCATTTTAGTTGCGTTGAATTGTAATTTAATAACTGGTAATAAAAAATGTCAACAAAATCAAAGAGAAGAATTATAGAAGTCACAACAGTTATTATATACATATTTATGGTTTACTACCGCCAATTTAAGTCATATGAAACGCCTTTTTATTCGGTCTTCTCTTCATTACAAAAAAAATTATATAAATATATACACATAGCGTAGAGCATGTATTTCTTTCGACGTGAAATTTCGTAGCATTTAAAATCTGATTGCAAATTTCACTTAAAATTAATCGAGCACACTTAGCAATTTTATTGATGAAAAAAATTTAATTTAATATAAAATCTCAAAACATAGCATCATACAAAATGACAATTTGTTTACATGCTCATCGTTGACAGCCGGTATATGTGATGACATAAACCAAAGTGAAATGCTCATGTATTTGTGCGAATAACATTGCTCTCATTGGATCACATGTTCAAAATTCTTAACGTTGATTCGTTTGCTTATGCGCATTGTGCATGTATGTAGCGAAGCTCAACAATCAATATTCAAATACATGCGAATACATGTGCACTTCATTTCGGTTTTTGTCATTCTACTGTTCGTGTAGAAAAACGTTCGTGTGAGTGACAACATTGATTGTTTTCATTCCACTGTTTTCTCTCTCTTGTGTATTGTTTTGTTTCTATTTTATTTTATTTTATTGTGTTTTAAATTGAATATCATTTTAAAAATTATTTATTACTTAAATGTTTTTAAAAAAATTGAACAATTTATTAAATTACAATTGAGAAATACACAAACAAATCTATAACTTAGATTTTGTGTAAAGAGATGGTGCCAGTAGTAGAGCTTTTTTCAAGAAGTCAAATGTAAGTGGGACTTGAATTATTCCTTCCACTTTCCGTGAATCCACGTAAATTGTGTATGCACAAAATGTAATGCCGCCGAATCCGAATAAATAAATAAAAGTTAATTTTTAACAATATGTATGAAAATTTAACAATTTCTGGACCTCGTCGTATGCTCTATCTTAGAAAGATGAGATGGAATATCAGTTGGGTACGTGGGTACATTATGATTTGTTTTTTGTAATAAGCCTATGTGTATTATATTGTTCAGTGTCGGTTGGGAATACTTTGTGCTTAGCGTGTTTGCATCCATTTAGGAATACCATGTTCAAGTTCACGTCTATTGATGCAAAACGAATTCACGCAAGGCGTGTGAGCGATTATGAAAAAGTTACATATATTTAATACTTGTGTGAATAAACGTCGTATGTGTGTTTGGTGAGATGTATGTAAAACAAGAGAGAGAGAAAAAAAACTTTTTCCTCTTCTTTAGAGATTTGATTTGAATGTGCTTGAGTCAAGCATGTGTACGGATGCGGTACAGATGACAGCATCGCTTAACATTTCATGTTTACATAATCTCATTAATCGTATTAAATCTATTTTACGCTGTGGCGCTTTTCTCAAAACGGCTCTCTGATCACATTTTGAACTTGGATGTGTTCGTTGTACTCGTGTGTCTGTCGCCTCAAACAATTTAATTCAGTAAATCGTACTCTGTCAAAATTATTTATGTATGTTGTTTGTTGGTGTTGCGTTTAATGATTTTGAACATGATAGTAATGTTTTTTTTTCTTCTTCTTCTTTTCGATAAGCGGGGAGGTCTAGTAAGCAGAAAATTATTATATTGCTTCATTTAAGCTGACAGACGATTTTCATTAAATGGGCACTGATTGCACATTAAACAACGCACACACTTTAGTTGCATTCGAGGCGAAATGAGAAGAAATATGTTTGATGCTTTCTTTGAAATCTTGATTGGATTAAACACGGGAAGTTGAACAAGATATTAAATTGCTCGGCAATTATGTGCTGTGATTAGACATAAATCAAAAACTCACCTCGATATCTATTTCAGGCGGTACAATGCATTCGTTTAACATGGTGCAATGGTGCAATGAGTGATGATGTCCGTTGTTGTTGTTATTGTTATTATTATTGTTGTTTATAATGCTGCTATGTTGATCATGGCTGTGATTTATTTCACTGCTATTCAAATGCGGTTCGTCCCTAATTGGTGAGTCGTTGCTTTGACAAATGTATTCATTATCAAAGTCGCACAACATAAGCTCCGTCTGGATGGCAATCGATGTGGTTTCAATCGATTTTCGTTGCTCATCTAATTGCGGTGTACCGAATAGAATTGATTTTCCACTTGATAATTTGGACACTGCTGACGATTCGTTTATCGCTGTACCCCTTCCACCGCTGCTAATTACATTTGAATTCGATGTTGATTGCTCTGTTGGTTGCGTCATTGATGGTGCATCGTTTTGGCGCCGCTTTACTTCAACTAGTATTGGTTCTTCGGCTCTTAAAAATGCATTTACTGCATCCTCATGTGCCAAATTACTGACGTCTTTGCCATTCACCTACGAAAGAGACGAAAAAAATAGAGAATAATGGTCAAACTTTAATTAACAAGAGACTCTTAATAGAACTAACTATTGAATTAATTAAGATTTATGTGACTATAGATTCGATGTAAGTTTAATTAAAATTACAGTTTCAACAAATGCAATCACGCAATTCACTAAATCAACATCCAGATGTGTACGACGTGTACTGTTCACAGTGGGGATACGGAAAAAGGCAATCAGATTGATTGTGCACAGTTAAGCAGATAAACATTACTGAAGAGAGAGATAGAGAGGAGGAGAAAGAGAGAATAACGTAAGTTTATCTAATGATGATTTTTTCCAAGTTCTCTAGAGATTTCGAGTGGAAAACGGATGAAAAATACTACTAAATTCATGGTAGATGATAAAACGTATCAAATCGTGGTCTGTGTATCCTTGCCATTTCCGTTCAAAATGCTGATATAATATTTGTTCTACTTTAACGCACGTTAAGCACACATACTTGAACCTTTAACGTGAATATAGACTAAAAATGTTTTCTTTTCGTTACAACGGCATTTTTCCTTCACTCTCTCCGTTTCTTTTCAAATCTGAAATCTTAATAGCGCTATTTACGGATACTCTGCCCATTAAGTGGGTTTTTAAATGCGTTTGCCGTGAACTTCGATGCATTGAATAAAAAACTTTTCTCCAATAATAACCTATAACGATCATCCCTAAACGGAAGCACATTGTAATTCTCGTACCTGAAAGATATTCACATTTTTTTTAAACATTCTTCAATCGCACACCATTGAAAGTAAATTTGTAGCATTTATTTATACAAATTTTTATTCATATATAGGGTTCTATCATAAGTACACGAAAAATTGAATCGGAAAAGTGTAATAAAAACGCCAACAGAATACCAAAAAAAAAAAAACACGTATACATCGAAGGGTCACTTGAATTTCAACTGGAAAATGTTTATTCACCATTTTGTAATCGTAAATAAATAAAAAAGAGCAATGTTGATGGATGGCTTTTATTTGCAATTTTTATGGCGACTAGATGAAGCATGACGTATGCTTTTGCACGCCGCAATTGAATGTTGCTCTTTATTTACATTCAAATTATGGCATGCATTCGTTTGATTGTTTTGAATTACCTTGACAGCCAAGTGCTTCCATCCAATTTCGTCGAAGTACATTTTGTGCAAAGATAAATCGATGCCAGCTCGACTATTTTTCATTTTCATACATATCTCAGTATTGCATCCCGAGAGCGGTGCTCTGATACGAACGACGCCATCATGCTGCGACGAGGCGGAAGCGATATACTTGTTTATGCGTCAATTTTATTGTGGGCAAAATACTGAACGAAAAACGAATGTACAATGATGGCAATCGATAGTAATCGTATTTTATTCCATGCAATCGCAGATGTAATACTATGTGAATTGTTTATTTTTTTTTTCGCTTCGGCATTTGGTATTTTCTTTTTGCATTGTTATCTCCGTAACAGTCAGTCACACAGAGTTATACAACAGAACATACTAAACACAAAAAATACATATAACATGCATGAAGAGAGCACAAAGAGAGAGAGAGAGGAAAAGATATTGAACTGAAGTACCATGAATAGGGATGACGACTGTCTTGTCGTATTTGCCCATTCTTCCTTTTATTGATAAAACTTTTTCGATTTTTCTTTTTGACTTCTTTTTTCGTTTTTATTATATTCCTCCCATTCTAACGCATTCATTTTTTTCTGTTTTGGTTTTTAATCTGATTGTGACTTCTTCTTTTTTTTTTGAATGGATACCCTTAACTCTCACCCAGTAAAAGTGGTTGATTTTTCAAATGTGTGAGCGACTTGAGTTGATAACGGGGCACACTTTATTCTCTCGCCCCACCATGATGGTGAAAGTCGTTCACCTGGCTGAAGAGCTGAGACGTTTGTTGAAGAGGGTAAATTGACAATGTACATACAACATGAATGACATAAATTTCCAATGGCATTCGCTTGAAACCAATAAAACTTTTTTTTTCTTCTCTTGTTTATTGAACTTCTTAAGATAACGAAAAGGAACAGTTTCGTTTTGGGTGGTATTTTTTTTCTCATCCAGCATATATAATTTAGTTAAAAAAGAATTTCAAATGCAAATTGATTCAATTTTTCGAAGTCATGAGATACTTTTTTATTTGTATTCTAGTTTAATGGACTAATTTAACTTTTGGAAAGATCAATTTTTGGCTTGTTATTATCATCATCGACAAAATGATACAAAGTTGTATTTTACATAGAAATTTAATATGCACAAGCACCAATCAATATGTTACAATGTCTTTCCCGATGGTATATGGTATGGAACTGATTTGGTGGCTCAAAATTATTATTATTATCGCTCGACTGATTTGATCAGCTGCTAAAGTTATTGATAAGTTCGTTTGTGAAGCGATGATTGAAACGATTCGGATGAATGATGGCAAATAAGACGAAGCCGCCGGATCTGTAGCGAACTTGGCGAGAAAAAAAAAAGAACCCGATGTCATAAATCAACATCACATTCACTTGTCATAGATTGATTTGATACATATTCGCAAATAAAGAACACGCCATGAAACACCCTGAAATGGGGTCGAATGTAATAGAACAAAAAAAGAGTTTATTTGATATCGTTAGTCTGAAAGTGCGTTAAAAGCTTGGCAAATGACTTTGTCTTTGTTTCGCTGCGATGTATGAAAGAGATCTCCAGCCCATTGTTTGCCGTACGTATTCGTGTCTAATCTACTAGAATAGAGCAAAGATTTTGCTTTGAATAAAGGACATTGAAACTATGTAAAAACCACATATGGAAAAGTTCATGTCTTTGACTCAATCTTATTTTTCTTTGCTTTTGTCATTGAGACACATAGCCTTTGGGTGGCCATTCTCAAACATCCCTGCTATCTTTGCATCGTCTTTTTTTTGTTCGTAAATATTGTTGAGACAACTATTCGCTTGATTTATGGCCCAATTGATGTAAGGTCCAGAAGACCTTCATTTGAATGTATATGTATTTATAACAAATAAATAAATCAATTTCAATCTAAACTTCCGCATAAAACACTCTCAACAAAATATCCGCCAGGCTTAAAGCAACATCTACATCTATATGACTTTCAAAATGTTTTTCTCCGTTATTACTTCTCTCTTATTTTGAAAGGTATTTTATGTGTGTGTTGCTGGATTTTCGGTGCTCATATTTTGGACACTGATTCATATGAAGCGTTCTCGCTTCATGAAAGCAAAGTTCAATGCCATAGGGTTAAGACAAACTTTACAAACAACTTTAAAATTGAAAGTAAAAGTACTGAAGCACTGTTGCAAAATTTTCTAAAACCCAAAGTTAAGTTTGGATCGTCGGCAATAAAAAGAAAATTGCATTCAAGCTCAAAGATAAAAAAAAACAACTGAGACCAGGACAAACTACAGCAGAGGAAATGTTTTTTTTTCGGTAGGAAAACTTTTATCAAAAGTACAGTCACACAAACAGTGCTCTACCATAGTCTACAGCCTGCACTTTATAGTTAGTTACATCATTTATGCGAATAAATACAGCAAAAAAAGTGTCGTCTTCTTTCATGGGACGCGTTTGCAGTAGTTATCACCAAGTTCGTGGTGATTATTATTCTTGTAGAATTTACGTACAAGTTCTTGTCGAGTTGGTGCTTTGGAGTCCTTGACAGCCAGCCATTTTTGTATGCAAAATTTGCGTTCATCGATTATGTCTTTGTCATAAAATGGCAACGAAGACTTTGGTGTGTTTTATTAAATACTTAACATTTCTTGAAATTCATAATTGCCATTTCGATATTATGAATCTCATCATCTTCAGTTCGCCACTTTAAATTATTTGCTGTCAATTTTACCCATACAGTGCAAATCGTATTCGCCAACAATAGCATACATCCGTCGAAATGGCTGATATTTCAGTAGCATGAGTCGTCAGCATCATTATCATCAATGAGCATATACGTCAAGAATGCAAACAAAATTTGTGAATTACAAACTTTTGAAAAATAGTTTTGTTCGGTTGAAACTTCTTCGTTTTTTTATGGACAAAAGTTTTCTTCCGTCTGCTCTTCAACTATGATTTTTGAAGCAGGCATTTTGAAGTAAACATTTTTAATTAATGTTGGATCAAATGAGTATAATGAGAACAAGCATAAGTAGATGTAATCAAATAACGGTTCGTTTGCTAATAGTTAAAACAATCATTAAACTAATTTATGTATGAAGAATAATTAAGTTACGGTTTAGCTGTTGCGGTTGGCTGTGGCGTAGATTGTTGTATATTGAAGTGCATTTTAAGGTGTGTTTTTGTCGATCATTTTTTTAAAAAAAGAAATCAGAAAAAGAACATGGGAAAGAGTAACCTCTCTGTTTACAGCAGTGAGTAATGAGTGAAGTGGTAATTATTTGATGCTTTTTTTCACCGTTCAGTTTCCCATTCGTGAAACACTTGAAGATTTGATGTTTAAAAAGACTTGAAGATTTTGAATTATCGGGCTCATTTAACATTGTTGAATGGCGTTATGGTCAAATGTTAGTGGTGCACATGAAGTTTTTACTCTTAAAACGGCCCCAAATAATTGCGTACTGAGATCTTGTCGTAATTGTTTTGCAGCCAGTGTTTTACCCCACACAAGAAATAAGAAAACAGAATAAGAAAAATTGTGTATCGAGTCAGTTGTTTCCCTTTATTTTTTCTCGCTTATTAGCTTCGTTTGTAGATTTTCTCTCAACCATAGTACATTACAGAACCTCATTGTTGTTTCTGCTTGGCGCTTTTTTCTGCTGCCATTTTATTTGGATGAATTCAATTTTCTTTTATGAACCCATAAATACATTAGCTCCCATAATTTATTTCCAACTTTAGTCGAATTACTGAAAGCAATACCGTAATCCAATGTATGTTCGCAGCGTGTTACACACATCGATTGCGGAGCAGAGTTTTTCCGCTGCCTATTTTCTTGTTGCAGGCTTGA